CTGCCTTTCCTTTCTCCATACATAGTTAAGCATCAAGAAAACTAAATTTTAAACCACGTTTTCCTGAACAAATGATTTTTAGTACGGTTCATCACAAATAGAAAAATTCACAGTAACAATTCCATTCAAGGTTGTAATTTTCCACCAACTACTATTATGAGTGGTTTGCAATGATGAATGATGTCCCCCTCCCCGCCCCGAGATTTTATTTATCTATTTGTCAGAAAGAGAGAGAGAGAAAACACAAGCAGGCAGAGCGGCAGGCAGAGGCAGAGAGAAGCAGGGTTTCCTCTGAGCAAGGAGCCCGATATGGGACTCAATCCCAGGACCCTGGGATCAGGACCTGAGCCGAAGGCAGAGGCTTAACTGACTGAGCCACCCAGGCATCTCTATGAATGATGTTCTTAATGCATTTTTTTCCTGGATTAAAAAAGTGAGTCTTATTAAAAAAAAAAAAAAAAAGACGACTGCAAATGCATACTATGATTAAACTAGGATTTACACATAGATCTCTTGTGCTCTTACCAGCTGGTAAATTCTTGAGTTTTTAAGGCCTTATCTTATCCACAGTCGTCTCTAGTACCTAGCAGGAGACCTGAGACATAGTAATGATAATAAATGTGGGATTAAATGGATGAATCCATAAAAGCTCATTTCTAATCCCTACATGTAAGTTGAGCTACTTCCTTAAAATGTGATCTATTCTAGGAAAAATTAAAAAAATAAATGACTTCCTTAAAAAAATAGGACTTTCATAACAGGTAAAAAAATAAATGAAGAAAAGCCAGCGATAAAGAGAAAGATCACAAGAAAATTCAAATAAAAGATGTCTAATGGAGAAATGACTGGGTACAAAAGAAACCACTGATATTGTTTATGTAAGAACTGTGCCCCACCCAACTCCAAAAGAATACAAGGTGACTCAGTACTTCACCACAATAAGGTTATTAAGAGTGAAGGAGAATGGTCTATTTGAGGGAAGGTGGGCGGGTACTTCAGCTCCCTCCACAGTACAAAGAGTAACAATCCCGCAAGAATCTTGGCGTGTTTTCTGACAGCTGAAGGAAGAAGAGAACTCTACTCCCTTGCACAGGCGCTTCCACTTTCTGATTTCAGAAGCTTAATTCTGAATACATCACTATCTCCCCTTCCTCCCTTGCCAAAACTCTGAGTCATTTTTTTTTAAAGATTTTATTTATTTATTTAATAGAGATCACAAGTAGGCAGAGGCAGGCAGAGAGAACGGGAGGCAGGCTCCCGGATGAGCAGAGAGCCCGATGCTGGACTCAATCCCAGAACCTTGAGATCATGACCTGAGTCGAAGGCAGAGGCTTAACCCCTGAGTCACCCAGGTGCCCCAATACTGTGAGTCTTAAGAGTAGTATTTATATTTCTGCTCAGCATAGGGTCCCTGTGAACTGGGAGAGCTTCCCGAGAACCAGGGCCCAAGCTGCATGGAGCACATCTACTCCTCACTCCTGAGCCTCAGTTCATCCCATTCCACACAGCTCCCTCCTGCGGGGACAGTCCAGGTGGGCTCTGATGTTCCCACCAAGGACTGTGCCTGATTTCCCGCTCCCACATGTTTATCGTACTGTCCCCATAGAGCATAATGCCATGTCCTTCTATTCTTCAATGTCTATAAATGGTCTATATGCATCCCCTCGCCACTAACCAACTCCCATCCTCTGTTCTGACCACCATGGCACTGGGGCCATCACATCTTGCCTTGTATCTACCTGAAAGACCGCACACACATGAAAGCATGATGACCTCTTCTACTTCTGCATATAGTACATCCTCAGATCTTTAAACGGAGAAAGAAAATTCATCTGAGACAGAATTGTGTCATGGAAACCAAAACAGATCACTTAACAAAACCTAATAAAATGCAAAGACCATTAACAATCTGAAACTAATGATATACTATATGTTAATTGAATTTAAATAAGATTAAAAACCCATAAAAACCACAATACATCCAAAAATCATGCTACGATAAATGAGTCTAATATAAAAAACCAATCTATACCCTAAATTTCTTAACATACATGTGTTAATACTTTGAATCAAAAGAGTTTCTAATAACTCACAGAAAAACACACATGTAAGCTATTTGTATCTTTGAGGCATAATTTCTATCTCATTTATTAGAATTTGTTTGTTTAGCCATGATGGTGTCAATGTTTATAGTAACATTAAGATCAAGGTAAAAATATTTACCTTGCCAGTTTTCATTCATAAGCCCACACTTTGCATTAAATATTCTCTGAAATGTAAATGCCTTAGAATTTAAATTGAAACAATAATTTTTAAAAGTTGTATTAGTTTTACACTATCTTGTACACTTGATACTAATATAACACTATATATTAACTATACTGGAATTAAAATAAAAAGCTTAATAAAATTAAAAAAACAGAATTGTAAGAGTTTTAGCTGGAATTCCATAAGCAAGGACATATGATTTTCTATATATTGTAACTAACCTTTCATTTCTTTTTAAAAGAAATTCAGTATACATACTTTCAAATAGCAGCATTGAGATATAATGCACATACCAGTTTGCTCACTTAAAATGTACAGTTCAATGGTTTTCAGCATATTCACAATATCTGTGATATTATTTTAAGTTAAACATTGTGAACTGTTAGCAGCAGAGATTATGAAAACCTACAGAAAAGATTCATTAGGTCCAACAAAAACACAGCATTACTAGTCGGTTTTTCAGAATCGGTTCTTCGCAGGATCAAAAGCTACACTATACACTATTTTTTAAAGATTTTACTTATTTGACAGAGCGAGATCACAAGCAGGCAGAGAGGCAGGCAGGGAGAGAGGAAGAAGCAGGCTCCCTGCTGAGCAGAGAGCCCGATGCGGGGCTCGATCCCAGGACCCTGAGATCATGACCTGAGCCGAAGGCAGAGGCTTCACCCGCTGAGCCTCCCAGGCGCCCCTCCACTATACATTTACTGTGACCCTAACTTAACATAATTCTAACGCCTACGCTGCAGTTACTTACAGCTCACTCCGTCCTCTACAGGCTCTGGTCTGAAATACAAAGTCAAACTAACACTAACCTAAAACAGCAGCGTTACTAGAACCCACCCAGTAAGAAAGCTGATGAACGCATACATCCTAACTCTAACCCATTTAAGCTAAGAAAAGCAGCCATCACTGCCCTGGGTCCCTGGGTCTAGCAACCTGCCCTCGGTTCCGACCGCGGAAGTCTGGGCCCTGCAGCGTCCACAGCTCTGCGGACTGCAGCAGCCGCGGCGCCGGTGTAACCACAGGCAGCGCCCGCGGCCCCTTCGCGGCCCGGGGGGTCCCTACGCACCTTCTCAAGCCACCGTCCCTCCAGGACCCACGTGCTAGCAGGGCGGACACCACGACCGGCGGTCCGGATCAGCTACGCGAACCCCATTTCATGGGAGCACAAGCCGGGGACGAACCCTGGGAGTCCACACAGACACTCGCTCTTCCTCCGCTCGAGACCCCAGCGCAGTGTTGTCTATCGTGCTCCGGGTTCTCTGCCCACGCGCCTTCGGTTCCCGCCTCCCGCGACGGCGCGGGGACGAGCGCTCCCCGGTCAGAGCGCGGACAGCCTGGCGGAAGCCGGCGGCCCCCGTCCCGACCACCGACCACGCGAGCGCGGGCTGACGCGACACCAGCGGCCAGAGCGCGAGTCTGGGGTCTCACCGAGTCTGGGGTCTCACCGACTCGCAGCGCGGAATCCACGTATCCTGGCGGCCACACGGGCAGGACCGGCGCAGACCTCGCCGTGCCCGGTTCCGTGCTTCCCGCCGTCCCCGACGGCGACGGCCGCCGTCCCCACTCACCTCCGTGACCCTCGTCAAGCACGTCCCTCCTCCCGCGGCCTCCATTCAGGCCGCTGCGACACAGGCGGCTCGTCCACCCGCCGGTGTCTTCCCGGTGCACGCGGACGGAGAGCGAGCGACGACGGCCGTGCGGGGTACGGAGAAGCCGCAGGGCCGAGCCCCGCAGAACGCACCGGGCGCCGCTTTCCCCACTTGCCGGCCTGAGCTGAAGCCGGCGCGCACGTCTCCCCCTCGGCCCCGAGCGGGCCCGGGGCTTCACTGGGGGCTTCACGGAGAAGCCGCCCGCGACGGCGCACAGCAGCGCACACGCACCTCCTGCTCCCGCACGGCCCACCCCGAGGTCGCAACCCCCGAAGCACCGAGTACGCCAAAGTTCCGCACCGCGGCCGCGGGGATGACGGCCCTCCCTGCACCGCGCTGTCCCCGCCGGCACACAGGAGCGTGAGGCCCCTGCCCACCCGGGCCCCGCGTCCCGCCCTCTGCCCTCCCCCGCACGCGTCTTGTCACGGGAAGCCGCGACCGCTCTCCGGACCCTGTGCTCCGGAGAGAGGGACCCCGGAGCCTCCCTGCGGCCGTCTCCCCACCAGCTCGCAGCAAGCCCTGCGGGAACCCCAGTCGTCGCAGAGCACCTGCCGCACGCGGGATGGCGACTCCGCGTCGGAGCTCACGGGAGGGTGAGACGCGCGCGAGGAGGCGGCCCCGACTCCGCAGACGACTCGGGGGTGCGGACCCCGCTGTCAGCGCACCGCCAGCCCGGCCCCCCGCAACGCGCCCTGCAGCCCAGGCCTGCCCCCGAGCCCCGGCTTGCTCGAGGACAACCCGCGTCCCGACCCCGCGGAGCGGCGCCACACCCGCCCGGACAGCGCTCCCCGCCCCCCGCCGTCCCCGCGAACGGGCGGGCGCCGCCGGTCTCCGGGACCCGCAGCCAGCGCGGCGGCACCGGGCGGGCCGGGGCGCCGCGAGCCCAGCCGCCGCCGCCCAGCGTTCCAGAGGCGCGAGTCAGCAGCAGCGCTGCCGCCGCCGCCCCGCGCCCTCACCTGTGCGGCTCCGCGCGGGCCCGGGACGGGGCGGCTGGGGCGCTGCCGCGGGGACCCCGGCCAGGAGACGCGCGGGGCCGCGAGCGGCGGGGCGGATCCCGGGCCCGCGCGGAGCCGCACTCACCCAGGCCGGCAGGTCGCAGGCGCGCACCCCCAGGCGCACGGCGCGCTCCTCGTCCTCCAGCAGCGCCAGGGCGCGGCACAGGCGGGTGGCCTTGAGGCCGCGGCTGCGCCGGCACCACACGAGCAGCCCGAGCGCCAGCAGCACCCAGCTGAAGCTCAGGCCCAGGTAGCCGAGCGCGTACACCGGCAACAGCAGCGCGAAGCTGCGCGCCAGCTGCGCCAGCAGCCCCGCCACGTCCACGCTCAGCGCCGCGCCCGCGGACTCGGCCTGGGCAGCGCCGGCCTCGGCACCGCGGTCCCCCACGCCGCTCATGGCGCAGCGTTCCGTCCCCACCCGGACGCGGAGGCTCTGCCCGCGCACCAGCGCCCCTCTGAGGGGACCGCTCCGGCGCTACCGCCCGCCCGCGCTTCCGCCCGCGGGCGGCGTGCGACGTCAGCACGCAGGGTAGGCGGGGCGGCGGCCGGGCGCGGCCCTGAGCCGCGGTGCCCAGGAGGGGTGGGCGGGGACGGCTGGGGGACGCCGCCGAGCGCAGGCCACCTGAGGCGGGAGCAAGCGCGGGGTCGACGTGAACGCCAGCGCGCGGGGTGGGGCGCCACTCAGGCGGCCCAGCGCGGCCCTGGAACGGAGCCACGTATTCACGATGGGTAGGCGGGGCCGCACTGTTATCTCAGCGCGGGGGCGGGCGGGCGCCCACCGAAGTGGGAGTGGGTGGGGCCGCTCCGGCGGTCGGGCGCGTGGTCACGTGGGGCAGGCGGGGCGGGGCGCGCCTCTGCGGCGGCACGACGCGGCCGCGAGACTAGAGCACGTACCTGACGTCCCCACGCTTCTGCAGGCGCGGAAGGGCCGCCGTCTGAGGCGGGGGCGGGCGGGGCTGACGCGTGAAGCCTCCCGCGCGTGACGTCAGCGCGCGGGGCGGGCTCCGGCTGCGGGCTCCCGCGCGGTCGCTGCCGCGGGCGGGGAGCTAGCGGTGCGTGTTCCAGCGCGGGTGTCCGCTTGCCGGCTTTTGGGAAGTTCCGGTTGGATCCGAGCGCACCGCCGCGTGGGTGTGATGGTGCGGCGCCGTGAGTCGGCTGCGGCGGACCGCGGAGGGAGGACGCTCCGAGTCTGGAGGTCTCTTGGCTGCTCGGGGGAGACAGGTCGGTCCGCGTAGTGCGCGGGGAGCGTGAGGACCTGCGGTTTCTGGGGGTCCCCGCCGGTGATTACCTCACGGTCCGGACGCTCAGTCAGGGTCGGCCCCAGGGAAGCGCTGTGGAGCACTGGCTGCGTTCCGAGGGCCGGCAGCGGAGCGAGTCTCTCTCCTTCCTCCTCCGGTCTTCGTTGCCGGCAACCTTGAGCATCCTTCCGAAGGGCGGGGGCTGGGAGCACACGCGCGGTTGCGGCCCTTGACCGGCGCTGTCACCTCGTGTCCCCCAAGCTCCCCCCACCCCAGAGTGACACCTCATGGTGTACCTCGTGTCCCCCGAGCTCCTCCCTCGGAGTGACGACCTCACGGTGTACCTC